GGGAGGAAAGGCTGGGAGAGTTGGGGCTGGTCAGCCTGCAGAAGAGAAGGCTGCGGGGAGACCTTATAGCAGCCTTCCAGTACTTAAAAGAGGCCTATAAGAAAGATGAGAACAGGGTTTTTAGCAGGGTCTGTTGCAACAGGACAAAGAGTAATGGCTTTACACTAAAGGAGGGTAGATTTAGACTGGATATAAGGAAGAAATTCTTTACAATGAGGGTGGTGAAATACTGGCACAGGTTGCCCATAGAGGTGGTAGATGCCCCATCCCTGGAAACATTCAAGGTCAGGTCAGACAGGGCTCTGAGCAACCTGATCTAGTTGCAGATGTTCCTGCTCACTGCAGGGGGCATTGGGCTAGATGACCTTTAAAGGTCCCTTCCAACCTCAATTATTCTATGATTCTATGACTCTATGGTTCTAATTAACTTGCAGGTGAGGCCAGGACCAGCCTGGGCTGAGGATAAACTTACAACTGCTTGGCCCTCTCTAAGCACGCTGCTATGCAAAAAGCAAAAAAGGAGTGCAGAAGAGAAGTCTAGCAGGCTCCGAGTGCCATGCAAAGCACAAGATCTGGGTTGGGCCAGACCTCAGCTAATAGACTTCCGTGAAAGACATCTGAAGCAGATCGCAGTGTTAGTACCAACAATTCAAGCTGTTCCCAGATGCAGGCACAAATCACTGCCTCACCTTAGGCCCTACTTACGCTCTACAGGACTTCTCTGCCAGCTCCTCGGGTCGCAGACTTAATTGCGCAAACAGACTCGTAAGCACCTCAGAGACGATCCAGAGCTTGGTGACTCAGGAGAACAGACACCCATACCTCAGCTCTCAGAGCTGACACTTCAGACACTGTCTACAGCAAACCAACCGTAGGGCATTTGGGTCATCCAGTGCCTGCCTCCGTCTCATCTTTCTGAGTGCTTCTGCCTTGTTTCTATCTGTACTTGTGTCTCCTGGATGATCTCTAGCTTGTCCTCGTTCTCCACCTGCCCCATTTGTTTTATCTTACCTCTTTCAGGGTAGAACAGACTTCAAAGTGGAAG